AAAAAGAAACCACAGCTGGGGCAACTAACACCCAAACAGCTAGGAGGATTGGTTAAAAACCATTAACCCTGAATGTAGAACCCCAGACCTGCCCCAGAAAAAGTTCCAAGCCCGCATAAAAAAATGCAAGGAATAGAAAGGAAAAACTTAGGCCCAACAAAAGGGAAACAGTTTGGGTTTGTGGATTAAATAGGTCCCCCCCTTTGGGGGTTTTGGGTTGGGAAAAGGGATAAAAAAATAACCAGGAAAAAGACTGGAAGTTTTCCATCCCTTTCCCCCTTGAAAAAGCAAATGACCTTTATAAATGACTGGTCCAAAAAAATCCAGGATGAAAAACCTTTCCCTTCATATTAGAAAAAATTTAGAGAGAAAACGAAAGAAATGTTGAAACTTATTAATTTTAAAGAGCCAAAATTTTTGATGAGAGTGATTGCCCCCTTTACCGAAATATAATTGATATGCATTAACCAAAAGGGCGAAACAACTGCTCCTGGAGAGGAAGGTAAAACCTATGATATTTCAGAAACCCAAGGCACGTGCCTGATAAAACCCCTTTTTTGGCATTTTATAATCTCAGTTACATTTTGGGGGGGGTTTTTTCCTTTCTTCCGGGGCCCAAAAGTCTCATTGGGGCCCATCCCCAAGCCCCAAACCCCCCGTTAAAATTTAGGCCGATCTCCTTAAAAATTGTTTTTCAAAAAACTTTTGAAAGAAGTCTTTTAAAAGATTTTAAAACAGAATCAGACATCAACCCTTTCCCCCCACCTCTAAGGGTTCATTTAAAGGTAAAAGTGTGAGAAAAAATGTATTCCACCTTTCTCCTGGGACACACCTCTACTATTTTTTTCCACTTTTCTTGATCTAAAATCTGCCCTTTGATTTTGCAAACCCAAAAAGTTATACTAATGAACTAAGCCAAAATGAATATTTGGGTTTGCTACTCTGGGATAAAAAGGGGGAAAATGTCAAAAGAGTATCCCCTGTCGTTTTCCAAGGCTTCAGAAATGATTCTAAAGAAATGTCTTTGTACACCGCAGGGGGGGAATTTTTTAGGGCCCATGCTATTTAATATTCCCGATTAATGCTCTCCAAAAAGCTCTACCTGCCCCACCTAAACATATTTGCTATAAGCTATTTCTGATATATCATGATCCATAAACAGGGCAAAAAGAAGTAAAAACCCTTCTTAATGAAAATTCAAGCAATTTTTAATCGACTAGGGCCTTTTAAATCTTCCTCTAAAACAAAGTTTTTAAAGCAAACGACAACCCCCCCCATCTATTTGAGGGGGAAATCATTAGCTACTTTAAAAATTACGTATCTTGGGTGTTGATGTACCCTTTAACAAATCCACTATACCCCAAATAAACAAAAAATGCAAAGCTTTGGCCAAAAAAACTCAAAGCTGTTGTGGCAAAAATCCAAAATGGTTTCTAATGTGGGGAATCTTGAGAATGATGTACATAAACCCATGTTTTGGCCTTAATTTATTATGCGGGTCCCATGGTTTTATATTAGCTAGGGGAAAGTTTCCCCCCGACCCTTGGAGGGTTAAAAGCAAAAAGAAACTCTCAGGATTATTCTTTGGGTGTCCCCCGATCACAAAAAAATTCTTAACATGAGGGGAAAGGGGCTTGGTTTTTTCTAGTATCAGTGATAAAGGGTTTTTGAAATTAAAAAACTGTACCCCGGTAAATTTGAATGTTGAAAACGAACCAGACACTGTCAAAGTTTAATTTTCCCCAAGTGTCCTAAAGGGAAAAAAAAACACAGATCTAAATGGATTTTGAAAACGGGCAATTGCATTAAGTTTTATAACCCGCATGAATTTTAAACACTGTAGGCAACAAGAGCATTTCACCCTCCATGGAAAAAAAGGGGACATTTTAAAATCACATCCTACAAGTCCCCCCAAGAAAACTCAATTTTAGTAATCCCTTTTCCCTTTAAAACTCTTGTTTTGAGCAAATGCTCAAGAAGAAAAATTTTTTGCCTAAGGGGAGTAATAAGTTATCACAAGTTTAAAAATACAAATGATGGATCTAAACAGGAGTCTTCTGGCAGGGGGTGCATTGGGTTTTTGTTTTAAAACCCCCCTAGTTAAGAACGTTTAAAAAAATTTGTTGGAGTTAGGGATAAAAATTAACAACTGGGCGTCTACACTGCAAACTGAAAATTTTTTGCCAAACCTAATGGCGCTTTAAAATAACCCAAACAATGAGCTTGACTCTATCATCATTTACTGATTCTATGTCATCATTGAAAGGGTCTTGGGCCAAAATAATGACTCCCAAAAACATGTCTTGGGGGGGAAACCCGGTTAGAAACTCCCAAAAAATTTGGGACAAAGGGGAATTTTAAAGTAAAAATTGTAAAGGATCCCATCACACATTGGAATTTTCCTTTATGAAAAGTTGTAAAGTTAAACCAAGAAGATATCCAGAAGGAAGGAAAAGTTTTTTTTGAAAATAAATTTGGGAAACTGTTCTAGCATTAGGAAAAAATATTTGGAGAGAAGTAAATAAAGAAATGAAAAATTATAGGAAATTTTTCGTTAGGGAACCTGGTAATTTTTAAAACCCCCAAAGATAAAATGAAAAAAGTAAATAAGTTTTTAATGGAGCAAAATTGCAAAAGTGAACAGATGAAGTGTTTTAGTGGGGCCCGGCTTAGGCTTGGTTACAAGTACCCGGCAGTTTTGGGGGACACCAGAAGATGATCAAAAAATGTAAATTATGGGGCCCGGGGAAATGGTCACTGTCTTTAACCTATGTGCTTAAAAACCCCTTTTGAGGAATACAGAGACAACAGGATAATTTAAACCCATGGGGACATGTCAAAATCTTATTAATTTAAAAATTTAAAAACCAGAAAATACAAGCAAATTTCCTAAAATTTTCTTTTTAAAAGATAAGTTAAATATAGATATTTTTAATATAAAACCCTATGTATTCCTGTTAACCCTTTGGGGCCTAGTTCCTAGGCCTTTTGTGTATCCACATGCTCTCGCGCTACCGTCCACAGGATGGATATGGGGTGCACAATAAACTAGCCACTTCGGTGGCAAAATCTAAGAATTATAATGGCGCATAAGTACTGTCAGGCATTCATTAGATATAACGTTGAATATTTAATAAGTGATATTTCAGTATTATTAAAACTGTTGGCAGACAGGTAACTTTTTGGCATGTTCAGGTAGAAAGTTCCATTTTTTTTTTTTCATGTGCATGGAGTTTCTGAATGAATAGTTAACTTGGTGTATCAAAGAATTAGATTTTAATATCGTTATTATGCATCCTATACCTAGCTATTTTAAGTTTATAAACATGACTGATTTATATTGTATTTTGCAACTAGGCTTTAAACTACTGATCAAAAATGGTTATAATAATGACCATTAATTTTTAAAGGGGTGGAGGGGGTAAGCCAGAGGAAGGCCTCGGTCAGATGACCAAAAGCTCCAACGGTAGGTCATCATATAACTAAGACCGGCGTCAGGAAACACTTGTCCTGTTTCCTGACGAACCTTTCCTAACCTATCAATAATAAGATATTACAAGGACCACAGTTGTTAGTATGTATGATAATTGTACTTATGTGTACCTGTATCCCTGGAGAGGGTTCCGGGGGTCAACGCCCCCGCGGCCCGGTCTGTGACCAAGCCTCATGGTGGATCAGGGCCTGATCAACCAGGCTGTTACTGTTGGCCGCACGCAACCCGACGTACGAACCACAGCCCGGTTGGTCAGGTACTGGCTTTAGGTGCCTGTCCAGTGCCTGCTTGAAGACAACCAGGGGGTCTATTGGTAATCCCCCTTATGTATGCTGGGAGGCAGTTGAACAGTCTTGGGCCCCTGACACTTATTGTGTTGTCTCTTATCGTGCTAGTGGAGACCCTGCTTTTCATTGGGGGGGATGTTGCATCATCTGCAGAGTCTTTTGCTTTCATAGGGAGTGATTTTCGGTGCAAGTTTGGTACTAGTCCCTCTAGGATTTTCCAAGTGTAAAAATAATCATGTATCTCTCCCGCCTGCGTTCTAAGGAGTACTGGTGTACTTCAAGCGTTCCCAGTATTTGAGGTGTTTTATTGCAGTTATGTGTACCGTGAAGGTTCTCTGTACATTTTTTAGGTCAGCAATTCACCTGCCTTGAAAGCCTGTACCTATAAAAACTTGCTCATCTCCAGATAGAACTGAGGCTGCGGGTTAATGTTTATACTAACATAGTGTGAAAGTTTGTTCTGGTCCACTTCAGGGTGTCCAGTGGTTTAGTTGAAAACACTCTCCGCCTCACACATCGAGTCCATGGTTCGATCCTCGATACGGGGGTTTTGGTACTAAACATACCCCCGCCGGGATAGAACCCGCGGATCCGATAGATTTCCTAGGTGGTTCCTCTCTTTATTCAATATAAGTCTGTTCCGGAATTGATGTGGTATCCCATGGGCTTTTCAGAATTTTTAACGCCTTTAAATAATAGTAAATAATGTGGGCAACTCACTGAGCGTACAGAAAATCACCTTGAACCAACTCTTCACGTATACTGCTGAGTCCTCTACCAGAAGGAGTCCAGCCAGGAAGTGAACTCAGTAGACTGACACCCATCTGTAACACCAAGTTATATACATTATTCACATGTTATTCTTTCCACTCCAGCTGCACAACCGATGCAATATATTGATGCCAGACGCGACAAACAACGGCCAGCTACCCTGGACCGCATTAATTTGCCTACTCTTATCCTTTGACTACAGCCATAGGAATGGTTTGTGGGGTACATCATAAATATATTAAACAAACTAACAAGCTTTACACAAACCCCCCTCAAGAAGGTTCCTTGATGTTGGTGAGGGGCTCAAGATTTAGGGAATTCTGGATCTGTGCACCAGTTTCCCCGAAATAAAGCCAGAATACCTCCAAATCCCCCCCCAGGCGCTGTAAAATCCTCCGGATTTACTCTTCCACCCTTGATTCTATAATAATAATAATAATGGTACTCACCTTGATGCCCTTTGTCGTCATCCCTGTGCTGGGCGAGCTCTGGAACGAGTGTAGAGGGCACTCCCTTCAACGATCTGAGGAATGCAGGAGAATCACCACGGTACAGCAAATCCTTCATGAGTGTGTACCCAGAAACAAGTCTGCCTGCTGACTGTACGGCGGCACTGTCCACAGCAACGACAAGTGATGTTCTGGCCATTACAAACACTGATTTAGTATAGTAAGGGAGGTGGTGATCATCTCCATCCCCCTCCTGCCCTCCCCAGGTCAAGCCTAGGAAAACCACCACGCCTGCTAGAACCATGTAAATGCGGATATAAGGTATCTAATAATCTTATACAAGACAGTTTCTAATGTTAAAAAAAAATATAATCCACGAGGTCAATGATGTCTACATAATTTTCTTGCAAATACTGTTTACGACACTTTTTATTACATATTTTTACGAAGATCAATTTTTACATGTAATCCTGCCTCAATTCATTTACAGCTAGAGTTGTGTTATTCCTACTTCAGCTTATTTCAAAGCCCACCCCTATCTAAGGTATACAAAACCACCCCCCGGATGCCAACCCACAACAGTCGACAAACACCCCGTACCTACTTTAATGCTAGGTGAACCAGGGGACCAGCAGGTGTAAGGAAATTTTTCCAACATTTCCATCCGTGCCGGAAACGAACTGAGATGCGGTACAACCTAGCCACGGACAGTATCCGGCCCTTAGGAGGCGCGGGGCCCAATCGGGAACAATTTTGGTTGACCCTCCATGTAGGGAAAGCAATGAAACTGAGGCGCTTAAAAATGCATGCGGTTAATAGAACCAAACAGATGAAGCTACTTTTAATAGAAAATTGCATATATGTAAGCCTACAGAATAAACAAAATTTGTCGAAGTTAAACTGCTAATTTCAGATTCAATGGACATAATCACCACGAAACTATGTTCACACGTACTTGGCTGAACTGATGATCCCAGTAAGATTATTGATCAGTTTCAGCTTGAAAAACTTTTTTCCAGATGCCTTCTTTTGATTTTGCTTCTTGTTGTTGTGGTGTACGTGATAAGACGAGAGTAGATTTACACTCTAGCCGCCGGGCCCCCTTAGCGGGGCGCCTCCCTTAGGTGCGGGCCACCATTAGTGTGTGGGGCCCCCTTAGGCGCGGGCCCCCTATAGGGCACGGGGCCCCCTTAGGCGCGGGGCCCCTTGAGGCCGCAGGGGCTCCCATTATGCTCGGAGCCCAACTGTAGCAATCTGTCCAATTGGCTTAGGAGGCCGTCCCTGCCACGCAGGGCCGGATTACCGTGTAGGCAAGCTAGGCATTTGCCTAGCCACCCGCGCATTTTGGGGGCCCCGCGGTCCAAGGCAGGGATCGGGCTCCTCCAAGACTGCGCGACATGAGCAAGTGCAAAGTGGTCCCTACCTAAAAAGTTCAAGAGTTAGGAGAGTAAAATTTATTTTTAAAAATTTAAAAATTAAAAATTTCCCCAAAAAAACAAAAAAAAAAAAAATAAATTAATGAAATAAAAAAAAAAAAAATAAATAAACCTAACCATAGATGGCAACACCTCATCACGCCTTTGTTTACATCAGAACAACTGTGCTTTCGCCGCTAATGGGTGATATTGGAGATTTCCTCCTCCAATTTTCCTGTAGTAATTACACTTCTCTAGACTTGTACTGTGACAAATTAACTGAAGTGTTGTTGATATACATTGATGTGTAATGAATAAATGTTTGTTTTTCGCCTCCTAAACGTTAAGGGAGGTACAGATTAGGGTTTACTTACCAGTAAAGAGACGGCCATGGGACCAGTAAAAACGCATTTTTGGTAAAAATATCAGAAAGAAAAAACCTTTAAAAAAAAACCTTAAAACGCAAACTGATTCCGTTTTGTAGGTTTAAAAGCCCTTTGTCCCTGTCTTTAAGTTTTTATCATTTCAATAACCATATCTCAATTGACTGATGTTACTACATCACTTCCGTCGCAAATGCTTAGTTTTCAAGTTGCGACGGAAGTGATGTAGAACATCAAATAATTTACCTACATATTTCCCCAGAAACACATAAGGCCACATCAGAAAAATCGTTGGTTTGGGTGAAACTGAAAATTGTCCTGAATTTCCTTTAAATTCTCATGTCCTTATCTATGGTTGGTAGGCCATATATCATGCAAAACATAATGATTAGTGTTAGTTATGAAAATGGTAATATAAATTAGCCATTGTGGCATTGTTCTTTGGACTCATTATGATTTCGTTTAAGTAATTGGAGATCAAGGAGGATGATTAGTAAAATATTCGTAGCTCCAAATCACTAACCTAATCTATGGTAAAAGTTCTTTCTGTATATGACTCCTTTCTGTAGACGTTTGAATTTTTAGATGCGCAGCCAGAGAAAGGGGGCACAAGTGCCATATCCCCCCTCAATTGACAGAAAAATTTTTTTAATAAAATAATTATAAAATTAATAATAAAATGATAAAGAAAAATTTGTATTTGTAATTATTAACAGACAGTGATACATCCTCATTATGGGCATCTACGTGAACCGTGATGTTGGACAGATTCTTATGGCGATGTGGTTCACATAAAGAAAGAAGAAAATTCAAGAACAGAAAAAGAGAGATGTAGAACTGCAGAAAGATCACAGACATCTCACGAAAAGTTTTACTGAAGTCACCAGTAACAGGTTGAATCTGCAGAAACGTCAGATCATACAGGAAGCCCGTCCCTCCATTATTTCTCAGCCAGCATCACTTCTATTGTGTCTCCTCTCAAATGTCTCAACGGACTGGTTTTCATAGCCACAGGATTTTGCCTTAAAAGATCCTGCCACATGGAGCCAAATGAAATCCCAGATTCTCTAACTTAATGCTTTTCATTTGCAGAAAACTTCAAACTCTGAACATTGACTTCTAGGAAATCAGCAAGGATTTATGATGATGGCAGTTCGTCGATTGTTTAAAGTCATACTATGTTTTATAGAAGCTTTCTAATTCAGAAACTGTGAAAAGATCATGGATGGTATAACTCTGAAAGCTCAGGAAAGGTGTACTGTCAGCATGCGAAGCTATTTTCTACCAAAGAAAAATACCTTCACACAGTGGTTCATGACTGGGAAAAATTCCCCAAGCGTATTTCGAGGAACATGAAAACAGCACCCACTCACAGGAGCTGCAATTTAAGTCCAGAGAATTTCGTGCACCGAAAAAAAGAGCTTATATGGATTCTCATTAGGAAAATCAAACTGAAAAAGAGCGCACTAATTGGAGAAAAGTTCGTAGAAAGAGTTGTTGCTGTTGTAAAAAAATCCTTAGCTCTAAGAGGACTTGCTTTCGTGGAGAAAATGAGTTTTTGGTTCGAAAAACAAAGGCAATTTCCCTAGGGATCATCGAACGGTTAGCACAATTCGATCATTCTAAGCAAAATCATGTGTCAACCCTTGGGAAATGCAGGAATAGGCCACTGTATCTTACATGTCATCTACTATAATGCAATGAATTTATTGAACAGATGACTAAGAAGGTCCTCAATAACATCATAGCCAGCCTGTGAAAACTGCAAAATACTTTGCAATAAGTGTAGAATCTAACACCACCAGAAATTTTCACATACAGATTCAAATGACATTCATTGTTCGCTTTGTCACTCCAGTTGGTAAGCCTGTAGTACGCCTTTATAAAAATCCCATTCCTCTTTCAGTCAGGCCAGATGGAGAAACAATGATGAATGTAGTAATGTATACTCTGCTTAACTGATCTGCTCTATTATGGATTGCCGTGGCCAGAGCTACGACAAGCAAGTAACATGTCGGGTAAATAAAAAGGATTGCAAGGCCCATATCAAAGTCAAATCAACCCACTTGCTGATATGTTGCCCTGCTCAGCACATTCTCATTAATCTTGTTTGTGTCAGGTCTGCGGAGTGGTTGTGACGCTGCAGTTTCAATTTTTGGACTTTTTACAAAGCACTCTTTAACTTTTTTTCTCTTGCTTCAAACGCATCGGTGGAGTAAACTCAAGTCAACCAATCAAGGAGAATGTCATCAATCATTAACAACAACAAGGGTGGTCAGCGCAGGCATGATGCAACATGGTATTGAAAGACAGCTTTGGCTGAAATACGTTCTGCTTTGATCCAATAGCAGATGATGAAGACCAGCAACAGCAACTACAAAGAATCGAAGCAGCCAGCTTAACATCAAAATTGGAAGATTTTGAAATTGAGGCCTTACTCTGATGTGCTTTGGGACTGTATACTGGGAACGGTTTAAATGCCACGAACAAGACACTTCAAAAATTGGAAATTGAAATGGCTACTTGTGCTAACCTCTATGCAGGCTTAGTGGAATTTGTAAGCTCACTTCGCAATGATAGCTTTTGAAAGTTTGAAGAGAAAGCAAAACTGCTGTGAAAAGACTACAGTTACCGGCTGATCATGCAGCGGTCACGGAAGAGGAAACGCAATTTTTTGAAGAGCCCAACAATGAAATTGTTTTGGCTTACCAAGGCAGAAATGTAAGACAGAAGCTACATAACTTCGTCATTCTGTATTCACTGATTACAGAATTGGTGAAAAAGAAAAGAAATCTACCAGAATCTCCAATGACAATTTTGGATTTCTGTTCAAAATACTACTATGGCCAGAGCAGAAATGAGAGCAGCTTCATTAAAAGTTGCAACAACACCTTTCAGCAGATGTTTTCAGTGACTCATTTTTTTATGAAAAATAGTTCATTTTTTTCTGGGTATATGAAACAATTAAAGCTCCAACCCGAAAAATGTTCTGCCCTCAGCTGCTTTGCACATTATAAGACTGCAAGTATCTCAGAACCTTCCCAAAGTTGACATAGTGTATCGTGCTTATAACCTAACACTCCAGCTGCTAACGTGTGAAGGAAAGACCGTTCATTATTCTGTTTTTGAAAAGAGTTGAAAAACCAGCTCCGTTCAAACAATGAGCCAAGACAAATGTGGTACCCTAGCCTGTGTTGCCCATTGAGTCTGATCTAACAAGAAATATTGATTTTCAGAATATAATTATGATTTTGCCAATATGAAAATCCAAAAAAAGTTTATTTAAGAGTGCCTGTGAATATAAACAATTCTTTACTTATCTTTGAGTTTATATAATTTGATAGTTAATGTATGATGCAATGATAGCAAAAATGGTCCATGATTTATAAAGGA